GTATAGGTAAAGATTTAGTCTATAGTTCGTCAAGTATCTCAACCTTAATGATAAGGGGTACTGAGTAACTATTGTCAGCTATTAAGTGCAATTAATTTTTATTCTTCGGTAAATTTTCCAGAATATGCTGACTTTTCAACACCTGACCAAAGAATTTCTGCATCACTCTCCAATAAAAAAATTAATTTAGCTTTCCTACTTTCATAGCTAGAATGAATTTTTTTTTGTAATAAAATACTATTACAAGACCATATCAAACAAATGTGTATCTGGGGGAAATGACACTAGAATAATTTTAAATACCATTAGTGTTATTTATTTTGGCTTTCAGGCAGTAAGACATCTGACAGGATTTGACCTACCCTATTTGTTTACATGGATAACGAACTCAGTAAGGATAGCTAGCCAAGGGAGTATTAAGAGCAATATTAAAGGGCAAAGGCCATAACTGTTTATCTCATCTCCTCCTATCAAGGTCACCCAGCAATGATTATTTAAACAACAACTGTGTTGATAGTAATATCAATATCCTTTCTTCTTAAACTGTATTTCACACAATTTATGTTCTGTAAAATATTACTAAGTATCCAATGAAAGAAAAAAAAAAAAGAAAACATGTTTCATGCTGTAAGTTGGGAAATGCTGTTGTAAATAGGGTTAAATCTTTTTTTTTTTTTTTTAATAAGACTTCCCATGGTTTTTTAGTAATGTGCAATCATGTACACTTTGAATACGATTTTAGTTTATACCATTTCCAGGTTTATTTGATCATAGATCTTTTTTAGAGAGCAACTGAAATCCTACGTGAGTGTTTAGTCCTCCTAATTCACATTTCATATGATGTTAGTGGGTGCCACTACTCGGGAAATCCTACATCTGTGGTCTCAGCCATGCTATCTGTGCACGTGCACATGCATACACACGCGTGCGGCTGCTATTATTAACTGGTACAATCAGAAAGAAGGACCCATTGCATGGTGCGTTACTTTCCAATTTCTACTATAACAAACTGCAGCACAAACTTTAGTGGCTTCAAACAACACAAAAATATCATCTTATAGTTCTGTACGTTGAAAGTCTGACATGGGTCTCACGGGGCTAAAATCAGGGTGTTGACAGAGCTGTATTCCCTTCTAGAGGCTCTGGGCAGAATGTGCTCCTTGCCTTTTCCAGTTCTAGAGGCTTCCCACATTCCTTGGCTCATTGCCCACTTCCTCCATCTTCAAAGCCAGTGACGTTGCATCTCTCTGATCATTCTTCTGTAGTTATATCTCCCTCTGATCACAGCCAGGGAAAGTCTTTGGCTTTTAAAGACTCATGTGATTAGATTAGGCCCACTTGGACAGTCCAGGATAATCTCCCCATCTCAACATCGGCAATGTCCCTTTTTGCCATGTAAGGTAACACGTTCACAGATTCTAGGGATTAGGGTTTGGATGTGTTTGGAGGTCATTATTCTGCCTACCACATATGGGTTTGTAAAGAACGACCTGAGAGTTCTAGCCAGCAAACAAGGCGGAGGAGTAAGAAATAAAGCAACTATTGCTGTTGTTTGACTTTTCCCAACTATTCCTTATTAACATCACAGTATCAGGGAAATTAAAATTGTCTGACTAAGGGATATAGAACAATGAACAAAATATGGAACATGTTCCCAAGTGCCATGAACTTGGTTCTGTTTTTACAATGTAAAGAAGAAAGCGCAAGTGCTCTGGGAATTAGATACTTCACAAACACAGCTTGCTGGCCCCTCAACAACACAAGCTGATTATATAGGTTGTACATTTTCCAATAAAAGGTATACTCTCCTGTTCGGCTTTACTGAAGCTTTCCTCACTACAGAACCATGCATCCATGATTTCCTATGATGCAGGTACTATAACTGTACCATTTTACAGGTAAGAAAATGAATACTTGTTATGGTTATGCTACCTGTCACGATCTTAATTTCATCAAACCAGTAAAAAGTGCACATCTGATTCCAAAACCCAAGTTCTTAATCCTACGTAATGTTTGTTATGTAATGTGATATCTGTGTGTCTACTTGATAACCCAGCTATCCTGTACTTCCCTCCCCCTTCCTGTGCCCAACCCAAGGTAAGTTCTTTCCTGTGTCTTTGATCTGAGATTCTACATATGTGGTTCTGGGAATGTGTGCACAGATGTGTACTCATGCACATGTGTTCAGTAACTCTGTTATTTATCTCTTCATGAGGCTTCATGTTTTAAATACATGTCTTTCTGTTCTGATCACCAATCAAATATGGAGACTTCTGAGCCAGAGGCACAATATGTCATGGGACTGAACACATGCCTTAGAGTCACACCTCATTTCAAAATGTGGCTAGATCATCACCTGTGAAACATTTGCAAGCTACGTGAACACCCTAAACTTCAGCCATCTTATCTTGAGAGAAGTCAAAAATAATATCTGCTTCACAGGGTCATTGTAGGATTAAAAGAGATGCTATTTGTAAGGCACCTGATAGATAATAATCAGACAATAAATTGTAGCTTATACTATTATCAATTCCTTGCTATGTTTACTTATATAAAAATGCTATTCAAAGTTCTTATCTCTCTGAAAGATGCTTATTGACAATCTCTACTTAAAGAGGTGACATCAGCACGACCAGCAACCACAGGTTAATTCATACCCCATTGTTAAGGTGTGGTTAACGATAATCAAAAAAATTTTCTCTTCTCCAGGGCTGTGCCCGCCTGGAGAACTAGGGCCTGATGCTTCTTGAAATTTGCTAATCACATCTGGTTTAGCTTTAGACATTTTCTGGGATTTTGCCAGCAGCTACGACATTTTAATGGCTACAATAAACCTCAAAGCCTCATCAAATCTTTGCTGTATGTGTGAAAATTATGTCCTCTTCAATTAAACATTCAATCTCAGCTCACACCAAGGCCTTATGGAGAAGGAGGTGAAACCTGAATGGAAACGTGAGATGAAACGGACCGCCGCGATGCTGGCCATCTTGCCAGATGGTATTTAGAAGAAAAAGAAATTCATTAGAGAGCCCACGGTCTGTATTTTCTTTAAATATTTACTGGGTACCTTTCATGTGTTGAAAACACTGGCATCTCTAAAGATTAGCAGGGCATTTTTGTTTAAATATTCAGTGTGTGTGGGGTGAGGGGAGTCATTTCCTCATTTGCCTTTGTGGTACTTCATGTCTCTTGGTGAAGCCCAGTACAAAGCAGAAAAATAGCTAAGGCGATGTTCAGTTTTCTTTCCTAAAGCAGCTCCACCAGCCTCAGAAGCTCTTGTATTTTTTTTTTTTTAATTGGCTGAGGAAAGTGTCAGTTGAGTACTGAGGGATCAGGAATGACACTTAAGAGCCTCCTTAGGCAATATAAAGTGTAGCAAAGTGAGACGCTCTGGGGAAAGCCCTGCCTCTCCTTTGTCCTCCACATTCACTCTTCTTATCCTCTAACTTACAGGGATCTCCAGGGCAGGCTGCCTCTGGATGGAGAAGGGGAAAAAAATCAAACAGAGATGAGGTTTCTGCTCAAAGGACTACAAAAGAGGTCAGGTCAAGGGATTTATAAGCATTCAAGAGACGAGAAGGAATGGGCATTCATGGAAGAAACAAGCTTGGGTCTTCTTCTGTTGTTGCTAACCCTTGTCACCATCCTGAGGACTGGTGTTGGCCCTAATTCTGCCATCAGGGAGGGACAGAAAAGAGTGCTGGGTGATGGCTTACTCTGCTTTATAACAATTATGAACTAAGCTCCCCATCTTAGATAAAGATACAACCACCCATTCTTTAGAAAAGAGGAAAAAATGACCATAAGTTCACATGTTGCATCCCTAAAGGAAGCATCCACTTGGTTGAACTCACTCTTTCAACCACATCAATGGGAGGGAAAACTGCACATGTTTCTTTAAAAATAATATACAAGGTAAAAATATTCACTTGTAACCACTATACTTTTTAAAGCAAGTTTTACGCCTAGAATAAAAATAAATGGCTCTCCCTGCCACCAGGAGCAGATCTTTCCCACTTTACTTCCATTTCCAAGCTGTTCTCAGCCTAAGACTTAGGTTTCTGAGTACTCTTTCACAATAAACATTTTAAAAATGTTTATTTTATGTCTTAGTGTAAAAATATTCCTGGTTGAAGCTCTTCATTTCCTCAAGCTCTCCTTTTGGCACTCCAGGCTCCATTTCCACATTAACACGCTCCCTAAATCCTCCGTAGAGCTCTTCAATTGGAGTTATACAAGCTCCAGGGCAAGTATTTATATTCTTGGACAAGGAGATGTCTCCACAGTGAAAACACAAGGCGCTAGAAATGCCAAAGGAAAATTCCTGCCCAAGCAAGATATATTTTCACCTTTTAAAAAAGCCCAAAGGGGGCTGTCAGCATTTTGTTTTGAATAATTAAAACTGTAAATTGAACTAAAATAGAATGTTTACCTTCATTATCAGATTCATGCACATAAACCAAGCGCACAGTGACATGTATGTGTCTGTGATATATATCTCCAAAGCAGCAGTGTAAACGAGCTAAGAAAATGTGTGAGTTCTACTTGGACAGGCTTGATTAGAGCTCAGCAAATCTGCCTGGTTGTGTGAATATAATTTCCCTAAGCCTCATTTTTCTCATCTGTAAAATGGGGCTAGTGTAGTTCTTGCTTTTTAGGGTTGTTTTAAGAAATATATGAGACAACAGTGAGATTCCAATAAATGGTTGCTGCTATTCTTATTAAAGGATTCTATGTTATGTATGACTATGAAATGTTAGAAAATGTACATATAACAAGATGGTGATATAAGCAAATAATCAACACTAAAGAAAGAGAGGGATATGTAAACACGGCGCCTCTGAACAGTGCGTAGAGATGGAAAGTTTCATGAGGGCTGTAGTGTACGATAAGTGAACTCCGCACCAACCCTACTCCATGAGCCAGACATAAATAATCCCTTTAAACATTTTTTAAAGTAATTTTAGCTATTATCATAATAACAGAACAGTTCCTATTACCTTCTAGTTGCCTCTTCAGTTTTCTCAAGTCTTTTATGAGGTCTTCAAACTTGACTTGGGAGGCCAGAAAGAAATCTTGTGGCTCAGGCAAGGGGAAAACACTCTTTTCTGTTCCAGCTTCCTACAAGATACGGTAAACAAAAGTACATTATATATCCCAATCATCACTCTCAGTTGAAATTCCAAAGTGTCAGAAAAAAAAAGTTTATTGGATGTTCGAATAAGAATCACAGCAATACTCCTCTGCTCTTCCTAAATTTGGACTTGAGACTTTGAAGTGCTTTTGTGTCTTTCACAGTATCTTTTTGGTCTTATTAGCAATGAGGTCAGCTATGGCTATGATACATGCTAGGTTCTATTTTGCCTCATGAATCAAAAAGGAAATTGTCAGGTCTGTCCTGATCTTGGACACTCTAGTTCCATGGAAAAAGGCACAGGGGAACACATGAAAGTACTTACATTTAAAGTCCCTGTTTGAGCTACACATGCTAGCAATTAGATAAGTCATCTCTGAGGTATGCCAGTGGGTATGGACTGGAAGGTGCTGGACAAGAAGGCACCATGATGGCAGAGACAATCACCATCCCTTCATCTTTACCCACCTTTCTCCACTGCTTAAAGCTCGTGTGTGTGTGTGTGTGTGTGCATGATCAAATTCTTCACATATCTGAAAAGCTTTTCCAAATGTTCTTTGGCTTATCTTAGGAGATATTTACTGGGGGCATGGTTGAGTACAGTTTTGACAAGCTCCACAGCTATACCTAATCGAGGATCTAAGCTGAGAAATGTCTTCAAGGACAAAACCCTCAGGCACAAGGAAACATAAGCTGGGCTTCAAATATCTTTTCCAGCCTAAGTTGCTTTCTCCCTGAGTTGTTTAACGTAAGCTTTGTATCTTGCATATCTCAGACAGTCTTCCGTTATTCCTCTCTCCACACGGGCTACTCTGCCAGCTTTCCTTCACATTCCATCTTCCCTACCGCCATTAGGACTAATTCCAAACTCTAAAACTGCTTTACAAGGCACTTTATGATCTGGCCTCTGTCTCCATCTCCAGCCTTATTTCTACCATCCCCCTATCTTCAACTCCCTCTCCGAAACCTTTGTGAAATAATACAACAGGCCACAATCTCTTGCCTCTAGGCCTTTGTCTATAAAACTGTCCCTTTCCAACTGTTCCCTGGAGACTCCTTACATGTCCTTGTTCATACTACTCATCCTCCAAGACTCAAAACAAATGTCACTTCCCCGAAGATTTCTCCTAACCTCTAGCACTTGGGAGTTTCTCCCTCGTACTCTAAAGAGCCCTGAACACCTACAATTATCACAGCACTTATCACCATTAATTTTAAAATTGCCATGTTAGCTTGTACGTCTTCCCCACTAGACTATAAACACCTCAAAGGCAGAAACTGTGCCTTGTTCTTGGTGTAGTAAACAACATCTGGCATATCAATAAACTTCATTTTGGTTGGTGGGCACCATTACAGAGTGCCTATAAAACACTGTTCTGGGAATTTTGTACCTTTAGTAGGAGGCATCTAATTTATCACCATATTTCCTTGTGGTTTCAGGAACCCCTTGGATCTTTCACCTTCCTTTAAGGCGTTAGCTTCACTTGGATGTGAGGGTAAGGTGGTTTTCCTTATTTTATCAGAACAAAATGTACTTAACATTTTTCATCTTCCTATTCTTGTTTTACTACTTGAAAAACAATGGAAGTACTAGCCTAGCCTGCATGCCAAGATGGAACAACATCTAAGATGCTTACCACAAAACTCCATGGTAATCTATACTGGAAGGAAGCAGGCATAACATCTCTTTCTATTTTCCAAATTTTTTTTATCAGACTCAGTCCTGGTTTCAATTTTTTTTGAGTCAGAAAGAGAGAAAATGCTGTTAAGCAAATCAAGCTGGTAGCAGCTCCTGTGAAAGCTGCTCAATTAGAGTTCAAAAGACATGACTCTACATGGGTTTCTTCAAACTTTACAGACCTAGACTTGGGCCAAAAACCAGGCAGGAATAGAAGGAAGCTTGGAGCCGAAGTCACCTTTCCTCAGCTAATTGCTCGTCACCACTAACCACAAAAATCATCACTTATGCTCCTAGAGAAAAGGGATAGTTTCATAAATCACAGAATTCTACACTCTTGTCGAGTGAAATGCATTTTGCACAGTGAAAGCCAGAAGAGCTCCACACAAATGTGGACTTATTTTTCTTCGACCAGGCCATCTCACATTTGAAACTATCCTCGTTGTAAGATTTTCCTCCTTGAAATTGATTCCACTGGGTTCAACTCTCTTCAGCAAGTCATGGTCCACAGGCAAATTTCAGCCTTCCTACATGATGCATTTGACGTGGTCAAGGCAGGCATTACCGGTACCTCTGTCCATGCCAATCTAGGGTTAGAAATGTCACTTCCCAAGATTCTTCAGGGTAATTCTTCTGCCACACTGGTACCCACTGTCAGAATCTAGGGAACGTACATATGCTGCTGCTGCTTAATTTCCTGAAGCTCAACACGCCTTCCCCACTCTACCAAAAAACAGTTCTCAACTCCTCATACCCAGTTCTTTACAGATGCCACTCTGTTGTGGATATTTACATCGCATCTAACACAGCAAATGCTTATCAGACACCTACATGACAGACATTAAAAAAGAGACAGTGAATTCTGGATCTCAAAAAGTAAGGCCAAGATAATTGTTTCTAGATATATATATAGATATAGATATGATATAGATATACTATAGAGTATATCTATATCTATATCATATCTATATCTATAGATAGATAGATAGATAGATAGATAGATAGATAGATAGATAGATAGATAAAGTAGAATAAGACATATATTGAGAAAGACTGAAACAAAGCACTCCCGGGCTTCCAAGGTGAGGGCTTCAAAGGCTTCCTTCAAAGAACAAGACATGAGCAAAGACCTCACGGAAGAAGGACCGTGCAAGACTGGACTAAGTTATTTTTCATTGTATCTTTTTTTCCCCTTTTACAAAAGTTATACAAGTTCATTATGTTTAGTAATTGAAAGAGAAGTAAAAAAAAACTCTTACAATCCTAACATTCAGAAATAATAAAACATTCTAATGTACATATTTCCAAGTTTTTGTGTGTTTATGTGTATTTATATTTACATATTTCAGATTATACTATATATATAATTTTGAAACACATGCTTGTAACTTAAAAGCAGATCAAAAAAACTTTCTATTGTCACTAAATTTTCTCCTATATCCTTTCCTGGAAGTTAATTATTCCAGTGTATGATGCCAGAATAATCTATTTGACCTTTGTCTCTATCATTGGACACCTACTAAAAATTTTCCAATATTTTGTTATTAGAAATTATCATAGTGATATAAGTCTTTAGTTATTTCCTCAGGGCAGAAATTCCAAGAAAGTTTATGCATATTTCTAGGACTTTCAATACAGAAAGGTCAAAACCTTGCTAGGCTATACAGCATATTTATATGAAGTAGGAAAATGTATCTCCGGTAGACAGACACAGCTCTGTGGACAAACATCTTGATAAGCACGTGGCATCCTTGTGTGAATTTTTTTTAAAAGGTACCCTTTATAGGATATATAGTTTGGTGAGTCAAGAGTAGGCTAGATATGAGTTCCATTTGGCCCAAAGACCTTAAATAGAGTATAACCTGATCAATCATACATGATAGTTTTAAGAAAGGTTTGATCAATTCACATTGCTTATTCTACTAATATATAACTAGATGGCAATTTATGTCTTCTATATTTGTCTTTTGTAAATTTCCTGTGGTGTCTTTGCCACCTTTTTTAATAAGAAAAGACAAGTTCTCCTTTTCTTGATAATTCTCGAGAGTTCATTATCTATTAGGTTGCACATATTTTCCTCAGCATGTTATTTATAATTTGGTTTTAAGTCATTTTTGATATACTAAAGTATTTTTCAATTTTAATTAGGAATTAAAGTCTTTTATTTTTATGCTTTAAGGTTGTCATTCTCATCTTTTATGATTTCTGTGTTAGATTGAATGCTGTGACAGGACTTTGCTATCCCAAGATTGGAAAACTATTATATTTACCTATATTTTCTTATATGTCTTTTATTCTTTGTTTCTACATTTAACTCCGCTGTTCTTTAGAAATTTACTTTGGTCTCTGGTATGAGGTCAAGGAGATAATTTAATTTCTTCTTCTTCCCAATTACTTGAAATTTCTCCTTTATCACATACTTAACACATATTTATTTAGATCCATTTCTGAGATTTCCTTTCCATTTTCTTTCTTTTTTTTCTTTTCTTTGAGACAGAGTCTCACTTTGTTGCCTAGGCTAGAGTGAGTGCCATGGCGTCAGCCTAGCTCACAGCAACCTCAAACTCCTGGGCTCAAGCAATCTTGCTGCCTCAGCCTCCCAAGTAGCTGGGACTACAGGCATGTGCTACCATGCCCGGCTGATTTTTTCTATATATATTAGTTGGCCAATTAATTTCTTTCTATTTATAGTAGAGATGGGGTCTCGCTCTTGCTCAGGCTGGTTTCGAACTCCTGACCTCAAGCAATCCACCCGCCTCAGCCTCCCAGAGTGCTAGGATTACAGGCGTGAGCCACCGCGCCCGGCTTCCATTTTCTTAAGTTTTTTAAATCTGTTATTCTATCATTCCACACTTTTTTTTTTTTTTTTTTTTTTTTTGAGACAGAGTCTCACTCTATTGTCTGGGCTAGAGTGCCATGGCATCAGCCTAGCTCACAGCAACCTCAAACTCCTGGGCTCAAGCTGTCCTTTTGCCTCAGCATCCCGAGTAGGTGGGACAACAGGCATGTGCCCCAGTGCCCAGCTAATTTTTTCTATTTTTGGTAGAGACAGGGTCTCTCTCTTGCTCAGGCTGGTCTCGAACTCTGTTCCACATTTTTAATCATTAAAGCTTTGTAATACACTTAAATACACAAATGAGTGATTTTTCTCATGCTTTTAATCCTGATCAACTTTGTCCAATTATTTTTACATAATATTTAAAATAATTTTGCCAGTTTCTAATATTGATTGGAATTCTGACTATTTCCACTAGAGAGTATGTCACTACTTATTTCATTGTTGTAAGAAACCATGTAATGTGAGATCTATTCTCTTAAGTGTACAGTACAGTACTGCTAACTACAAGAACAATGTACAGCAGACCTTCAGAATTTTTTCATCTTGCATAACTGATACTCTGTGTCCACTGAACATCAACTTTCCATTTTCCCCTCCCCTCACCATTCTACTTCCTATTCCTATGAGTTTGACTATTTTAGGTACTCATACAAGTGGAATCATTCTACATTTGTCCTTTTGCTACTGGATTAGTTTTACTTAGTACAATGTCCTCAAGGTTGATGCATATGACAGGATTTTCTTCTTTTTTATGGCTGAACAATATTCCATAGTACACATATACCACATTTTCCTTACCCATACATCTGTCGATGGACATTAATGTTGTTTCCAAATCATGATTATTATGAATAATGCTGCAATGAATATGGAAGTACAAATGTCTCCTTGAGATCTTGGTTTCAATTCTTTTGGATAAATACCCAGAAATGGGATTTGCTGAATCACATGGTAGTTTTTTAAATTGAGAAACCTCTGTAGTTTTCTATAGCAGCTGCACCATTTTACATTTCTACCAACAGTGCTCAAGGGTTCCAATTTCTCCATACCCTTGTCAACACTTGTTATTTTCTGTGTTTCTTATAACAGCCTTCCTAACAGGCATGAGAGGATATCTCATTGTAGTTTTGATTTGCAGTTAGATAAGGCCACCAGAGGGTAGGAGAAATTATGAAAGAGTTCCTCAGTGCCTCGCTATTGTATGTCTTATTTGGAGAAATGTCTATTCAAGTCTTTTGCTCATTTTCTAAATCGGGTTTTGTTTTGTTTTTCTCCTCATTTTATATTTTATCTCTCAGTAAAATTATGTAAATTTCCTCACAAGGATCTGCAGTTTTGCGGTTAAGTCTATAATACATATATTGGTAATGTTACTGGGAGCTTTTCCCCAAAAGATCTTTAAACTTAGTATTTCTGGAGAGGATTAATGAGAAAAAAAAAAGGGAAGCTTTATAAAAAGGCAGAGAGAAAGTTAGTTTCAGTTAGGGAGAACATCAGAAGTAAAAACACATTAGTAAGAAAGCACAGGGTGTGTTTGGAAAACAGCGAGTCTTGAGTTGGCTCACAAAATATGTGTAGAGGGAAAGTAATAAAAGCATGGTCGTAAAAGATTAGAATTAAATTGAGTAGTGCCTTAATTGGCTTGAAAATGGGGAACCACTTCTGTTTTGAGTAAAAAGTGATACGATCAGAACTCTGTAAGGAGGGTGTGGGATGGCCTAGAGTGGGGAGATGAGCTGCAGCAACTCTAGGTGAGCTCTCTTACAGCCTGAATGAGCTGGGGTCAGCAGGAAAGACAGACACGGAGAGACATCAGAAATAACTTCGCTGAAGGACAGAAAACAACCAAAGAGGTGGACAAGGCTTCATGCCTGAATGGCCAAAATCTATGATCTCTTGAATAGAAACAGGGGAGAAGTTTGGAGAGAGGCAGAAATGATAAGCCTGATTATAAATATATAGAGTACAGTTAGATAAGGCCACCACAGGGTAGGAGAAATTATGAAAGAGTTCCTCACAGTGCCTAGCCTGTCTTCTGGATGAAATTGTAGGTCTTTTGAAAACAAGGCCCTGTAATCTTTACTTCGTCTCTCTTGGTGCCTAGAAAAACCCTGTTTACACGGACAGTTAGGCAGGTGCCCTGACAACATTTTCCTTTGAGACTTTTCCATTCATAGTGATTGCTGTATTTCCCAACTACTTATAACAGTACTTCTTTCTTCTCAAAATTAGGGCTCCTTGTTCTTGATTTAACAAGAAGGAATAAAACAAAATTATGTTCAGGTGGATTTTCACAGAAATGTTTATTTCTAATTGCAAATGTCATCTAAGCAGAGAAGATGCATTTTTCAGATTCCACACCTTCAACCTGTTCACAGAGGTATTACTGATAAAATATTGGGTATTAATGTGTCTTAATTTCCTAAATTTTGTTCTGTATCTTCTGAATCCAGTTTCAACTATAATCAATTGCCAAGTGGATCTAGGTTTCACAGAGAACCTCACAATCTGGTCATAAGGCACTGAGGCAAGTGGAGTTCTCTCTGAAGCTGTGGATTGAGAATTGGTGGATTTCTGCCACTGAATAAAGCTTCCCTTCATAAGAGTCAACTAGAATCTCTTGGCTTCGGTTTTCTCCTCTGTAAACCAAGGAGGCTGGAGAGCTCTCAAATTCTATGCTGGACTTGAAATTCATCCATGCATCTATTCATCATCCAATTTCTGAATGCCAACAATGTGTAAGAGTTGAAACCCCATTAGTGCAGTTTTCCACACAATGGCATTTCTTACCTGATCATAGTAACGCAGGTAATACTTCACGACATAGTCCACCAGATTAATCCCGTTATCCTAGGTTTAAAAGAGACACGTAAATGAAAAGCATTCCCGTGAGACGGTCTGTTACATAGCTGAGAGCTGAAATCTCAGGCTGTGAAACTTCTAATTTGTGAAACTTGGCCCTAAATCTGTTTGATCCTGGTAAGATTTTCTCTCCTCCTCCTTGTCCCATCCATTTGTTATGCCAGCTATACAAAGAAATGACAATACCCTATCCTTTGTGGGGGAAAATAAACAGATAATCCATAAGACCTCAGAGATAATGGCTAAAACAAACAAAAAAAATTGTTTCCTAATATTTTCTGGCATAAAGCCCAAAAAGGAGGGGGTGGGGAGTGTTAAGGGGAATCAGAGACTAGAACAGAAAACCATCCCTCCCTTCCCACCTTTCAAAAACTGTGTGTTTTTAATGGCGTGAAAAACAATCAGGGCCAGCTTAAAAGGAGCACCATGCCACTTTATGACCCTGGGAGGCCAGGCAAGCAGGCCCTCCCACAAGGCGGCCTTTGTGTCTTGTTCACAGGGGTCTAATTCTAATTTGCCTGTGTGTTTCCCCTCCCTCCACCCCCTGCCCCCCAAGGGACGCCTAGATATGGACTGGTTGTTTCTAAAGAGGTAACTCTGCAGGGGTGTGGAGCCAAATGATAATCAGGCTCCAAGAGTTTGACAGTAGACCCCCCTGCCCAATTGTTGTGAGCAAAAGAATAATTCAAACGCTCAGCTCAATTGGTGACTCAACATTTCCCTGCCACTCAGGAATGAGTAAATTACAAGTAGCCACCACTAAATTCAAACAGCCTTCAGTCTTTGCACTACACTAACACTGTGTGCTATCTGTTTTATCCCCTCATTGTGGGTAGCTGTTCAATACCTAATTGTGTATGTGAGAGCAAACAAAGCTGGGGGATTGTGTCAGCGAAAATAAGGTCTAACATGAAAAACCTACCTTTACTCAAAACTCAAAAGAAAGCAAAGAAAACAATGCATGCTCTAAAATAAATGATTGTTCTTAGGGGAAGGGATAGAGATCTATGGAACAATCTGGAATAATTTCTTTTTTTTAAATTAAAGAAAGAAAATAATGGTAGATTATAGAAACTCATTACGAAAAATAAATAAATACCCGACTTTTGACATCCTTCAGTTTGGGCAGAATTTCTAAGCTATATCCATCAGCTTGTCCCCGAGTCCTGTTTCCTCCATTCATATAATTTCCAAAAGCCAGAATGAGAGCTAAAATATCCTTCACACTCTTCATGTGCAGCAAGCCCTGTGACCACAAACACCAATTATGATGGAGCTGAACTCCCAACGCACTCATGTTCATTCAACAACAAATATTTATAGAGTACCCAATAGGCTATTTGGTGGTTGTTACCAACAAGATTAACAGTTGGTGAAATGAAAAATACACTTTACTAAGCCCTAAATGTCTTTAAAAAAATACGTTAACAGCCATCATTTTCAACTCATTCAACAAATTAAACACCACACGTTTTAATACTGAGGATTAAATACTAGTGTTTATGTTTTCATTTGTATCAATTTAATTTTTAATAGTTATTTTAAAGTATTTATACAGTATAAAAAGGGAGTTGGTATAGTTAGGCTTAACTTTCTAACTGGAAAGAGGCTTATCTTTTGAGGGTGTGTTTTGGGGACTATGTGTCTATAGGAACAATAAAATTCAGAGTAGACATAATAGCAAGTAGGTTCGTCTTTATTCCTGGCTATAATCCTCAGAAGTGAACTATAATAATACATTTTAAGGCCATAGGCCATGTTTATTAAATTTATTAAACTCATGTTTATTAAGTGTTTGCAGTATGTCTATTAACTTTTATAATTTCAAGCTGCTTAGCATTTTCTTTGGCTCCCTATCTCATCTGTTTGGCCTTTCATTTACTTATTTTTAGCTTTCAGTGCAAATTTTCAAACTGAAACTTTTTTTTCTTTCTTTATAGTCTTCTTACTTGACTTTATTTTTCTTTATATGAGGGTAAAGAATGCAAGAAAAATTCAGTGCCAGGCAGACTTCTGCTCCTGCCTTTCAGGTATTATTAGTGGGTGTATATTATACTTTGGTAATATCTATGCTTTCTTTATTAAAATCTCTTATGTCTTACAGGACCAAAAATCATGCCCCCATGACAAGCAACTAAGTACTACAGTATGTGTGGAGAATACCATGTTCTTAGGAGCATAGGCCAACTGTGGGAAAGAGCCAAGTGCTAGAACTTAACTTTGCAATAATGAACAGTAGTGTGGGAAAGCCAACAAAATTTATTTGCCAATCACTCGTTATTACAGTCATTTGTTTCACTTAAAATTCTCTAGAATTTGTTTATTTCACTAAGAAAGACACATTTCAGGTGATCACGTGCATGGGTCTAAAGCAAAGTCTCTTTTGCAATCCAGATTGTGGAACAGGAAACAAACTGATATTTAGATTGGTTTTTAGTAGTCAGTATGTACTTTGGAAGACATGAAATTTTTGAGAAGAAATCCAGGGAAGTGTCATTTTTTCCTCTTCCTTCTCTTCTTCAGTCTGCATCTCCTTTTCTCTCTCCCACACATACACACACACCCCCTCACACTTGGGCCAGATAATCATCACATTTACACTTAGAAAAATCCACACTCTGAAGTCAATTTCTACAATGGCACTATATATAGTTAATCTCTTCTATTCCCGACTTCCTCCTTTACGCCCTATAACAGCAAGCCTATCTCTAAAATCAGAGAGAAACCTACCTTAGAAGCTCGTGTGATGATCTCTACCTTTCGGTGCAAAGAGGTGATACCCTCAGAAAAGACAGATCTGAAGATTATGCACTGGGCACGTTCAGCAAAATTAGGAATCTGGGCTAACTCATGTAAAAATCTGTAAAAATAAAAATGTATCACTTAGCTTCATATAAAATCACAAGAAAAATATAAAGGATGAAAAAAATCCACCATGAGATTATTTGACAATTTCAAGATAGGCAGAAATTCAAGGAACTCCAAGGGTATGTGTTCAATGGTGACAACACAGCCACTTTTTAATGGGTTTCTATGATGTTGAATAAAGAAATTACTTTACAAAAAGAATATTACTAAATGAATCATCAACAAGTTATCTATCTCCTGTTACCCAAATAGGAGATTCAACCTAAATAGAAAGCCCTAGTTGTTAGCATATGAGAAAAATTATACAAAAAACTTCCTTATAATGCAGGATTCTCTAAAGGCATACTTACAGAGGCTAAGGAAATTGAAGACTGGAGGAAAGTATCTACAGACAAATGATTAAAAAATTTTTTCTTATTGAAGGGATATTGCTATTATTTTTGCTCAATGAATTATATAATGGTCTATAATGATCAAATTCCCGATATATTTGTTTACATTTTCACATCAACTTACCCGTATAGACATAGTTCATAGCTCAGTACTTATGACAAAGCAGGTACTCATTAAGTAGACAATCTAAAGTTTCATTTTAAAAAAATGGCAAGAAAGATCTTAAAAGCTAAAGGTGAGTACTGACCTACACACAGTAGCTCACTGTCTGAGCAGTTGGGCACTGGTGCCCTTTGCAAAATTAAGTTGGAAGAGCTACATACTCTGCAGGCCAACGACCAGAGGAAAGGATATAAACTAAAATAGGTGGAAACAGTTGGATATGAATACAGAAAAGGAGAGAATCCACTAACAGTCATTTATTTCATTTTGGAGTTGAAATGATGATTAACTGATATTTCTGAAAGTCTTAGTCAACTCGCAACATCATTACTTTGGAATTTTGCAATCTCTCACCAAGAATGGTTTTACACAGGAGCAAAGTTGGAGCCCTACTTCTTTCTATATCCAAATAAATTCTCTTGGCTGATAATGTTGGGGAGATTTGTGTTTTAATAAATTTCTAATTATCAGCTGTTTTTCTTACTTATCCTACAACCAGATTGTAATCTTTTTAAAAAATGACATTGAATTGAAGCAAGAAATACCCTTAAAAGAAAACACACTTTTGTTCTAAAGTTCTGTGACTCTATTATAAAAATCATATAATAGAATATAAAAGTAGAAAGTCATAGGAATTCTAGTTAGGACAGGATGAAAAAATTAAACTAGAGGTAAATTGTTTCTTCATAAATATAGTATTAAACACTTGATTCATTTATCATGAATGAAATCAGAAGTATTACCAGTTGTTACAAATATACAAGGAGTAAGAAGCTCCTAAGACTGGCAGCATTTGGTCCTGTGATAAATGTTGGGGAAACTGATTTATTCAGATGCTGAGCTATCTGGAAGGAAGTACCCTGCATTTCTCCTCTTCTATATGTGACCATGAGACACCCTTCCCCAAGTAGGATGCAGATCCCCGGAGTATGTAAGCTCCCTACTCAAAATGAACAGAACAAGTGAAGCAGTTACAGACCACGTGAGAGAACATACTGATCAATGCCTCAGCTCAACAACAAGGGCACAGATGAAAAGCAGGGAATGCTGGATAAATAATTGCTTGTAAGTAGTCTCAAAAGAGGTGATTTAGGACCAATGTGAGGAGACAAGACCATAGGCTCAAAAACGTGTGTGATCCAAGGAAGGGTAAGATTGAATTGTAAGACCCTCTAGGATTAAAGCCATACTGGGATTTGGGCTTCCACTGGGAAGGTTCTTAGAAAATCTTATAGTTCCAACATCCTGTGCATGGAGAGGTTCTGGAACATATCTAAAGAGCTGGGGTGGGGGGAGAGAAGTTCATAAATTTTATGAAACTTTTGGGTAGAACCATGCCACTGAAAATTAATATTAGCACATCAGTCACCAAGACAGTCAGTCCTTCAGGTGCGTATTAAGTATTTACAGCGTGTCAGGCATGACGTGAAGACCTGGGAACAGAATTTAACTTACACACAGCTCCTTCTCAATAATCTGAGAACTAAAGCAATGACTACTGTGGAGGGTGACACGAGCCATCAGCGATGGAATCTCTAAGGGGAGCTACGGAGGGATGTCAGCTGGGGTTCCCGGAGCCCCGGGGCTGGTGCACCACACGTGTGACAAACTGCCAGAGAGCCCAGACAGGCTGACTGGCATCTGTGGGGGAAGTGAGCAGAAGCCAGATGCTAAAAACAGGGTCTTGTGTTCTAAAATAAGGAATTTAAACTTTTTTTTCTAAAAGGAATAAAGGGTTTTAAATAGGAAAGCGATACTTTCAGCTTTTTGTTTTAGAAAATTCCTATGGCAGCGTCTTGGTTGGTTGGCGGTGACGGGAAATTTGAGGCTGGGAGACCTACTAGGCCACTGCTGTCATCTCGCAAGAGAAAAGGGAAGGTGGCCTGCAGTGTGAATGGAGGGGGGCAAATGGATGAGAAAGCCACCAGGGCAGCAAGACCCAGAGTGACAGCCTAATGCCAAGGCACACTGAGACCTAATGCCAAGGCACACTGAGATGGGTCCAGGATGCCCTGTGGGTTTTTGGCTTGGAAAACTGACAGAATGTGAAGATAACAAAATATGAGAGAAACAAATTTGGAAAAAAACAAATACGATTTTATATCACTTGCCGTCCAAAAAAAGCCATGCAAAGAGCATCATAGCTACTTTCCCATTTATCTGGTAAAGTACCAAGAGTATAGGGTACCCTGAAGAGTGTGAAGCAAGTGTCTGATGAATATCTCATCCCCTCAACTGTGTTTCATACTTTACCCACCAGAGCTGGGATAATACTCTTGCACATATCCCCAGGTATGGGATCTTGGATACGGGGCCTTGGTACTTACGAATATTTATAGACTGATTTCCTTTTGGGCTAATCTAACTTTATATTATAGGTCCAATAATAAGATCAAATACTGTCCCCTACCCCAAAGAAACAACAAGGGATCTTTCCCTCCTTTCCCCAATATAGGCTAATTTCGAGGAGAAGGACTGCAATTTTAGCCGTACATGAGAGAGAAGTTCTGTGTCTCACGTTGTTTGGGTTACACATCCACAGCAGCAACTCAGCTGACAGGTAGGATGATGCCAAGTGGCCTAATGCTTTTAAAGGATAAACATTTGGTTCATCAGCCCTTAAACCTCTGAGCGGTATTATCTAAGGTTTGGGTGCACGTGGGCTATCCACACAGCATCATTTTATGTTGTAACCAGTGTTCTCCCATGGAGGAGTACACTAAGAGAGCCTGGTATGGGGGGTCCCAAGGCAGCTGTGGACCCTGGTGGAGCATCCCTGGTAGGCTGAACGTGGCGTCCTCACTCTAGGCCATGGTGAGCATGCATCGGGCCCAATTAAACCCAGTGGAGCCCTGCCTCGCCTCACCACCCTCAGCAGGCAGGGTACAAAAAGAATCAAGGGCCATCTCTAGAGGGAGTGGCTCTCAGACAGCCTGGTCCCAAGCAGACGACACCTCTGTGGGAAATGGCTTTCTAAATCTGGCCTAGGGTGTAGAGGAGCTGATGAGGTGAGTGATGAAGCCAGTCTCTCCAAGCTATGATTTATAGGACTGGGCACCACAGGACTCTTAGGAAAGTGCAGTGCTAAAACTATAAACGATTCATATTTTCCAGTATGTAAAACATGCTTATAGTCGACTCACTTGCAGTTAATGGCAAACAAGTTGCCAGAGAATCAGACTCTGGCCTAAATCAAACAAATGCTGGCCTGTGCAGGAGGTTGAGAACAAAGGTGAAATTCACCCAGGTCTGAAGGCCCCTCCCCTCCCCTCTGTGCCTCATCTTCCCTGCAAGCATGTCACCTCGCCAGCACAACACGACAGTCCTCTTTGCATCAGTAACAGCTCTGCATGTTTGGGAAGTCATTACAATGATCACTTATAAACTTTAAAAATTCTTTTCTACCTAGATCATCAGTACAGAAGACAGGAATAAGTTGTCTGTTAGTTATCTGCTACCATTATTCTACGTCCCAGCAATTTATCTTGAAAAATACTACTAATTAATAGAAAGGCAATAACACAAAAGGAAAAGGGGAATGCTTCTAGTAGCAGAAACACACAATCTCTCCACAGCTGTTCATTTCACTGGGTCAGCCATTCCTACAGTTTAGAGCAGGGGCTGCTGAGTGGGTAAGGGGTTGGCAAATTACACCCATGGGCAGCCCTAATCCAGCCCACCATTTGTTTTTGTATGGCCCGTGAACTAAGAATGGTTTTTACATTTTTAAATGGTTGAAAATAGTATCAATAGATGGATAACATTTCGTGACATGTAAAAATGATAGGAAACTCAAATTTTGCTGTTGATAAATAAAATTTCACTGGTACACAGCTGTCCCCATTTGCTTATGTATTGTCCGTGGCTGCTTTTGCCCTACAATGGCTGACTTGAATAGCTGTGACAGATCCTATGACCCACAAAGCCCAAAATACTATCTGGTCCTTCACAGGAAGTTTGCCAACTCCAGGCTTAGAGGAGTTGCACAACTTGGAATAATTGGCACTACTCAAATGCTTGATTTGCCTGACTGTCCCCAAATACACACATGGCCTTGTCACAGTGTCTGAATATCCCATTATTGGTCACTTCACTTTTAGTCATTAGAACCTTAGCAGCAATTAATTTATTGTATTAGGAAACATGACTTGGGAATAAACCACAGGATAGGTTGGGTGTAGGAGGCGGTAGGGAGGGGCCTCAGGTGTGTGGAACAGAAGGGCAGTCGAAGCCCATCTGATCTGATTCACAATATTTCTAGGCTTTATGAACTTACTTGGGGAGAAGGATCTTGGGCCACACTCCACATGACAGCAACTCAGCTAAGGTTCCCAAAACTATCATGAAGGTTTGTCAGTAACTGAATAAACCTAGAAATCTCTCCCCCTTCCCCAGTCATTTAGAGCTATTTTTCTGGGTCTAAATGTCCAGGTATCCATGGTGACAGGCATTCTAGAAGACCCAAGGACGAGGCATAGAGGCTTCAGCACAAGGCATGGATGCCTCTACGGCTGACTTGTTACCCTAAATCTGATCGCTCCATTTCCTCTTTGTTTTCTATACTTGCCTCACCTCTAGGTTGAGAGGGTTGGCCTGAATTGGACAAGAAGCATTCAAAGTAGCAACAGGCCAAGAAGCCCCCGTCTACTCTGAACCCACTCTACATTTTCACAGAGTCCTAGGCCCTGAAATGCTGGGTGGGACTGTGGGGTTGCAGAGCCCCGGAAGCTTATCTGTGGCTTGGAGGCCCCAAAAGCCCAGCCTAGGACAAGAGTCACTCAGTTCTACACTGGAGTTTTGGGTTCACAAACTATATGGAACAAAATCCCCAACTGTAGGGCAAGCAGCTCTACACAGTGAGTGGGGAAAAGAACAAGCACAGGCAGGGTGAGGGTGAGAAAGTCACACCGAACTTGGGCAGAGCAGGTGGAGAAATCTGGGAAAGCTGGCACATTCTGGCTACGTTTACTGGATGTGACGTTTAGAAAAATAAATTTTAATTCTGTGACTCTCATATCATCTTTTTAACAACATCAGCAGAACCTTAAACAGAGCAATGCCTTCTTCCTTCCTCAGTCCTTTTTGGCCAAAATGTTTAGTCTAGGAGGAATTAACAAGTTGCTAGAACAAAAAAGGGGAGTCACGTGGGGTGAGGGGAGGGAGGGAGGCATATTGTGTTCAGCAGCACAAATCTCTGGGCTGCCTTTCCCGGCAGCAGGGTCACTCTGCTGCATGCAATAGGTCACAGGGATGACGGGGATGTGAATTAGCTCACTGTACAATTTAGATTTGGTTATTCAGAGCTGGGAGGCAAGAAGCTAGAAACCGCAGTTCTTTTGGCCTAAGAGAAAAGTGTTCCAGTGTCCTTACTGCTCAGGTTTATCCAGTAGCTTCAATTCTTCTTCTTTAGATGTCTCGTAATACTTTCTTATTTTAACCAATTCATCCTCTTGAGCTCTCTGCATTCAATAGAAAACAAAAGAAAAAAGTGAGAATCTGTCTAAGGTGGTGGGTCTCAAAGTGTGATTCCCTAGGCTGGGTGCAGTGGCTCAGGCCTACAATCCTAGAACTTTGGGAGGCCGAGGTAGGAGGATCACTTGAGGTCAGGAGTTAGAGACCAGCCTGAGCAAAAGCAAGACCCTGTCTCTACAAAAAATAGAAAAATTAGCCAGGCATGGGGTGCATGTCTGTAGTCCCAGCTACTGGGAAGGCTAAGACAGGAGGATTGCTTGAGCCCAAGAGTTTGAGGTTTCAGTGAGCTATGATAACACCTCTGCTCTCTAGCCTGGTGACAGGGTAAGACTACATCTCCAAAAAAAAAAAAAAAAAAAAAAAAAAACCAAAGAAGTGTGATTCCATTCTCTAGACTTCTCTAGACTAGTAGTATCATCACCTGTCACTTGTTAGGAATACAAATACTGGCCAACTCTAGATAAGAGAAACTCCAGGAGTGGGGCCAACAAGCCCTCCAGGTGATTCTAATGCATGCTGAAGTTTGAGAATCACTGGGTAATACAAATGGTCATAACAAATGCACCCAGACATTTGTCTGCTATGCTACCTTTGACTCCCCCATCTCTTCCCCTGTAAGCAGGCTTGGGCCAAGTCACCCTCCCCATTCGCCTCCCTACCCTCAGAACAGCCATCCTAACTTACACTGGCTCCCCATTCCTATTTCTAGTCACCATCTTCCCTTTTTCCGCATTTCATAAGTACTTGTCTATACCCCTTATTTTGGCATTTGATCACATACCTTCCCAATTTATCCAGCTATTTCAGTTGCATGCAGCTAGCCTCCACTGTGAGCTAACAAGTACCCACCATGGGCACAGTCCAGAGCTCATGGTAACAACAAAAAGCATCTGGAAGGTGCTTTGCCTTTGACAAAGTCCTTTAACATCAATTACTGTCTTTTCAGTTAACAGATGATTCCAGTGAGGCTTACTCTAAGTACCTGGTAAAAAACTTCTGACTCAGAACTGGTCCTTTTGCCACTATACATTTCTGACCTCCAAGTATTGAACTAATGTATAATTACCTCCCGATGGCCTGGTATTTTTGTGCCTTAAGGTTTATTAATGAAAGCTTTTCTGATGCAAACATGTTAGAAGTTCCTAACTGGTTTTACCAAACATCCTTCATATATGAAAGATGTGAAAATGAGTAGGAAATTGGTAATCCCACCAAGCCTAGAATATTAGGCTACAGAAATTTCCTAAGAGACTTAAGGTCCCAGGGGACATAAATATTGAAATAAATCATTTGTTTAGCTGAGTGACTATAGCATATCGTGGAGCCCCAAGCAGCTTCCTGGGAAATACCGTTACTTAAGAGGCTCTGGTTCAGTCTATGTTTTTGCAACCTAACAGTGAAACCAGAGCAATAAACAATTGTGGGAATTGACTCTTCTGTGTCATCTTCTCAAGAGAGGCTGCTAATTCTGTGGGTTATTTATTTCCACCTTATAACCAAAACCAAAAGACCTTACATGTGTACAGTGCTGTTTACTTTCAAAATACACTGCTACTGCTACATGTATTAAATTCTCATTTAATCTAAAAAAATGAGGTAGAGCCCACTATATTCTCCACTGTACTGATGATCAAACAGGATTTGAAGAGTTTAAGCAACTGGCCCAAGGTTATTCACTCAGCAGGCAATAGTAAAGCCTCAAACGTAAAATCTAAACACATACCCACCATCCTATACTCCTTCTCATATCAATGCCACCAGCTCATTTGGACTAAGAGTTATCATCCAAGCTGGTATTAGCATTTCCATTCTTCAGAGGAAGACACTGGTGTATGTCATGGTTGAAGAAGGCAACTTATCTCCATTCACTCTGCCAGTAGGTGTCAGGGCTGGGTTCCAGGGTACTTATGTGGTCTCCACGTGAACTACCCTGCCTTGCAGATGTGCAACAAGATGTAGTATTTGCAATTACCACAGTGAGAGTGAGGAACCTAGTGCCTCTCTCGTGTCCACTCCCATTCAAGCTTGTGTTTCTGTGCTATGCTCTATTCCCTGCTATGTCAAAATCCTTCTCACCAAAGAACATGAATGGTTCAGTGATTTTTGGGGTAGGAGAAAGATTGGGAATCTAGCTTTAACACTCACGTTTTCATACAAGGCTGCCAGGGTCTCCAGATCAACCACAGAGTCGTCCACATTGAAAATGGCTGCCAGGCACCCGAAGAAAAGAGAAGGAAAAGAGGATAAGGATTTGATTAGATCCTCTGCACCAACTTTACTCCATGTCCAGTTATCAAGCAATTAATATAGCATTGCACTTTCTTCCACAAGTTGTGCCTTTTAGCTTGTTTCTGCCCACCTTCCTTTCGCAACAGGGGGTTCAAATGAAAGAAACCAAAATGGTTCCTATCACTGGCCTGAGCCTCAGCCCTGCCTTGTTTAATTCCTCGGCCTCTGGGTCCTTTTGCAGTTTAATTTAGGCTCCACAGGAGAAGTGTTTGTGCTTTAAAACTAAATCAGTTTGTTGGTTTGAAGCACAATTTTAAATCTTTCTTCTTGGCTGGTAATTGAAGAGATTTAGTACCTAATGCACCAGAACTGACTCTTGCCCATTACCAGAAAGAGAGAGAGAAAAAAGACAATGTTGGCAAATTAAATGAATTCAGGCATGTGATTTCAGGCACCTTTCCACGGCCACTGCAAACATCTTGTTTGGATTAAAAAGACAAGAAAAAGCAATAATTGCATCAATAGCAAATTAAGATTATGGAAACCTCCCATGAGCCAGTTTTAAGGCAGGTTCTCATTCCCATGGTTTTATTAGGATTCTACTTGTTGTTCTGTATCTTAAATAAGTCACTTAGCTGTTAACTAATATACTTATGATTTCATCTAGAGAGGTTCCTTCCCATATACACTGGGATGGAAAACCTTGAGATTAAAGCCTTAATGAATTTGGCTATCAAAGTGTTTGAAATAGGCAGGTCCACATCTTTAAATAATTATTCAAACTAATAAGGTTGTTCCTTCAACCCTACCTCCCTTCCCTGACTTTGCGTTGTGAAATTAACCAGCACGCTAGTAAATTTTCTCCATGGCAGGCTAATTAATTTTATTAAATCAACCAGTGATACTTAGAATGCCTTAAAATTTTGCTCCTCAACCATTATTCTGTTCATTTGCATTACATCATGGTATTTGGAGAAGGTAGGGATCAAGGTGAAGGGCAGGTTGCTTTTGAATTGTTTCGCTTCTTCTGTAGTTTAGAATCATATGAAACCCTTTCATACAACTGAGCTAAGATCATGTAACTTCACAGAACACCGAGAAATGTACTTAAAATTCCTTCACAGGCCACCTTCTCGAACTTAGGAGTTAATCAGCAAGCTACTCCTAGGTATGTGGGGTAGTGAGAAAAGAGGTAAATATGCTAGTGACAAAATAAGCCACCTCAGACCACCAAGACAAAGGAAAATTATGCTTTAAAAAAGGCCAATCTGAAATCACAAAAGAAAAATGTAATTTGAGGAAAAACAATTTACCTTTGCAGGGCTGTTATTTTGTGTTTGAAGATAATATAAATTCACTAATTTATCAAGCAGATGTCAGATAGGACATGTATTTTTAAATGTCTAGTGCTTTAAACATCAAAATAGCCAGGAACAATGTCTGTTTTATGTAAATCCCAATGTTCTACAAAACTCAGCCAACACGAATGTATAAGGTAAAATTCTCAAAATAATCTACCAGAAACTTTTTGCTTCTAAGCTAATCACACATGCTAGGTAACTATATACAAGTATAAGCTTAGATATAATCAAAAAATCTTAACTCATGAGAAAGAGAATGATCTATGAGTTTCTTTTCCTAGTGACTTAATATTCAGTTTTAAAAGTTAATCAGTCTGGTCCCAGATACACGGCTTGACAGGTTATACTGTCAATCAATCCCCTTCCAGTGTGCTAGGTAGCACAAAGAAACCACCTAGAGAGGATGGGACCAAAGAATAAGTCATGGGCTCTGGAGACATTTGTTCATTCACACATCTAGCCCTTGAATACGTATTTGTTGAATGTGCACTAAGTTCCAGAAACTGTCCTAAAAGGCTGTGGATGTAAGTTAGAAGTGTACAAGACATTCAAAGAACTGATCTCAGGACATCATATCCTAGATTGGGGGTAGAAAATAAACAAGTAAATATATAATTTCAGGTAATGATATACTATGAAGAAACTAAAATAGAGGAATGCACATTAGATAGTATAATCAAGGAAGTCATCTTTGAGGAAGTGACACATAAATGAAGACCTAAAGAGGTCACTTTTGCAAGTAATCTGGGAGAAGAATGTTCCAGGGAGAGGTAACTGCAAAGACAAATTTCTTTCTCTGATGAAGGAACACATTCAAGTTACAGAAGGACTTCAAGATGACTATCATGAACAGAGCAAAATGTACTCATTATGTGATCCTGACATGTTAAATGGTCTGAACCTCAGCATATCTAGAAAATGGATCTAATAACTACTTACTGAAAATATTAAGTGAGGTAATATGTTTGCTTGGCATAGCACATGAACATGGTATGAACTCAAAATGGTACCTATGAACTATAACTACTATGATTTCAAATATATACCCGGTTACTGGGTTTTAATGCTTGTTAATGTCTTATCTCCTTTAATGTCTGAAAGGAATTAGAGAAAGAAGACTACAACTACTGAGTGATTTGTGCTATAAGTGCAACTTTCCAGAATTCTTAGGTGTTACAGATAGTAGTTGCTATGAAACTCTTTCAGCCCTTCAAAACCCTACTCAAGGCCCAACTTCAGGAAGCATTATTAATAGGAAAATACACACACAAATCACTGTAATTACAAAAAAAATAACGTTTCTGTTTGGAACAGATGCTCAAGGCAAAGTAAAAAACAATTTGATAGTAATTTTATTAAAACAAAATAATGTATCAAATGTCTTACTGGAAATACAAGATACCTCTGGGACCACTGAGAAAGTTGACCTAATTTTTATCTATAATTTCAATCTTTCCCACCAATCCATCCTTCACTATATTACCAAAGTTATTTTTTTAAAACGCGGACCTCAAAATTTTACTCTGAAGTTAGAAATACCTCCAATATCTTCCTGTAAATATTAAGGGAAGTCCAAGCTCTTTGGCCTGGTTTTTAAGCTCACTCCTTGCCTGGCCCCAAACCATACTTCCAATCTCATCCCCTACCACTTCCTCCAAGCACCTCAGGCTCCAGCCATATTAGGCAATGCCCCGTTCCTAAATATGCCATGGCTTCCCCTCTCTCCACACATCATCCTCCAAGGCCCAGGAGTCAAGGCTTTCCTGCCTGGGAAGGGCACTTCTTGACCTTTGGATCATTAAGTTCTTGATCTTTTCCTCTGCCATGTCTCCTTTCTTATATTTTACATAAGGTGAAGAGAGTATATTTTAAGAATCTATATTATAGTATGTTGCCTAATAGTTTCCTTCCCCCACTAGTTTGTGAAAGCCTTGTAGTCAGGGATGGTTTCTTATGCATCTTGATAACTTTAGCTCCCAGCACAGTACCTGGGGTGCAATAGGCATAAAATAAATGCTTGTGGATGTGACATATGCCACAGGATTCCTGAAGAGTGAGTCCCTCTGCTGATGTGAGGAAAAGTTTCCTGACAAAGAGGACATGGGGTCTAGAAACAGAAAACAGAGAGATTCTCAAGAGGGATAGGATTTTGACAGATAAAAATATTACATTGTGGAGGGAGGGTATTTGAATTAAAGTTGATTTTTTGTTTCCGATTTATCTCTGCCCCCAAAAATTGAGGTTTAGTAAGAAGTGGTAGATAATCATGCCCTCCACTCACTTACTTAGTGTAGATCCATTGCTTGCTTAAATATTCCGTAACAGAAGCAAGTTTAACAAATGTATTTTCTCACTATTAGGGAATGAATAAGGAAAATACCTTATAATTCTTACTCTCAAAGTTTTAAATAGCAGTATCCACCTTAGGAAAAAAGGTTAAGAGTAAACTGTTACATTGCTAAAGGCAGACACCTAAAACACCCATTTGTTAATCACCATTAATTAAGCCAAATTCATTCCAAACAATGACAATGTGTAAATATGCAGTAAGAGACAGAAAACAACTAAAAAGAATGATAAATTCCAACTGGAAGAAGCAGGTACAGACAGGCTTGTGGAAGGTTCAGACGATGATAGGTAGTTCAGTTTGGGCTTGAAGAGAGACTTAATTAAAGGGACTAGGGACAGAAGGCCACAAATACTATTTGGGGCAAGACCTTGCAGAATTGTCAATGCCATAAAGAGCCCATAAGGGACTTGATATATAGAACGGAGTCATCGTGCTCAATGAGTAGAGGAGTAAATTGAACAGAGTATTACACAGGACAGGTCAAAATTTGGGGACACCAGTTTAGAGCCTATTGTAGTGGGCAGGAGGTAGCAAACACCTGAACAGTGTGGACAGAAGAGACAGGGCAGTGGAGAAGGCACTCTGTAGCACTATCCAGTGATATCACTAACTAGCTCTGGAGATGAGGAAGTGATGTTTAAAACCACTCTGAGGCTTTGTGCCTAAATTTAGAGGAAGAGCTTTGTACCATCCCCCCAGAAGTAGGCAGAGGAGTACAAGAGACTGGCATGACTGTGATCTTTCCCCCAGAGGCTAGGGAAAGAGTGAAGTAGAGGAGAAGGACTGGTAAAGGAAGAAGCAGATAAAGAGATTAATTTAGGGCTAATGGCAAATATTCCACTGAGGTTTCTCCTCTTCTATACAAGGGTCTTAAAAATAAAAACTTAAGTTCATAGGTGGAAGAAGCAATATCAAGAGATCATCTGGCTGAGCCCAGAAGATTAAGGAAAATAAATTATTTCTATTATTTTCACCCTACAGAGTAGCCATGGAAGGTTAAAGTATTGGCCAAAAGGCTTAAAAATTAAAAGGGCATAAGTCCTGGGGGTCCTAAGTCTTATGTGTCTTATGTGTAAATAATTCTACCTTCTATTCACCAAATATAGTTTAAAAGCTTCTAGCGGCCCAGAATCCATACCTGATAATTCTATTCCCAAAATACTATTCCCAAAATACTGGAACAATGTGCTAGGAGAATCAATAAATGCTCTCAGTTTAAGTCATTCTTGAAAGCATTTACCATTAAACTTATAAGCCATTACATAAA